CTAGGGTCTGACTCCACCCTCCTAGGGCCTAGCTCCACCCTCCTAGGGCCTGGCTCCACCCTCCTAGGGCCTAGCTCCACCCCTCCCAAGGGTCTGACTCCTGGCTCCACCCCCTCGGGCCTGACTCCACCCCTCCTAGGGTCTGACTCCACCCCTCCTAGGGTCTGACTCCACCCCCCCTGGGCCTGACTCCACCCCCCCACCGGTGTCCCCACTAACGGGTCTCTGTGTTGCAGCGTGTTCGGCTCCCTGAACCTGACCACGGTCAGGCTGTCCGGGGTGGGCAGCAGCTTCCAGAAGCACTCGGACGCCGAGTCCAAAGGGATCAAAGCCCACTTCAACATGGACGAGAGCGGAGTGCTGCTGCTGGACCGGGTGAGTCCCGACCTGACCCCTGACCTCTGACCTCTGACCCCCTCGTTAGGTGCCGGTGGTGAGAGAGAGTTCAGTCATATCGCTGTGAAACTAGATGTTAGCCAATAGAAAGCCAGATTTCCCCACCAGAGAGCAGAGACCCTACCAGCTGAAGCTGTTTTTCCTCATTGTTATTTTAATAAATGAGAACTTCTGGCTTTTAACTCATTGACTGCCAAAGACGTCTATAGACATCTTTTATGTTTTTGAACGAGAGTGGCTGGGGGACGATCTGCTAAAGCTTGTCCGTAAATATCAGGCTTCTAGACAGAGTATGTAGTAACAAACTGACCCTCTAGGGGGCAGTGCCACTTTTGATGGGAGATGAGCATAGACTGTAGGTAAATAAGAAAAAGGTAACGGTTCGATATGAGAGAACATGTCGCCGGTGAGACGCAAGTAGAGGAAGAACGGAAAAAGGTAGAAACAAAAAAATTTTTCCTGATGAAAGAAGAGAGTCTACTCTTTCTTTTGGTGTGTTCGGTGTTTACATAGTCATAGCACAAACTAGTCTGTGGCTCTTGAAAAATCAGTCAAAATGCTCAAAAAACTCTGGCAGTATGGGACTCTCTGTTCTGAAAATGGCTGCCAGTCAATGAGTTAAAGGTTGTTCTAAAAATTCAGATAAAAGCCCCGAACCAAACGATTTGGTTTCAGGACTAAAACGAGACCACAGACAACTCCTGAGGTCAAAAGCTGGGCCTAAAAAACGGGGACGTTTAATGTCTGAGCCGAGCTAAAATGTGTTTGTCATTTTTATCGTCTACAGGTGGAATCCGTCTTTGAAACAGTTGTGGAGGAGAAAGAAGAGGAGTCCACCTTAACCAGTAGGTTCTGAAGTGTAACCAAATGTCGGCCATTACGGAGTAATAGTTATAAACCCTGTTAAAGACATTTCTGTTTAGTCTCTTTATGGAGTAAGATTGAAATATTGAAAATCCCCTTTGGGGGTAACATTATTTGAAATATCTCAGGAAATAAATGGGGGAAAAAAAACTAAATCCTTAAGATTTATATAACAAAAGACTGTAGAGAGTTTTTTTTCGTATTCTTATTTAAGCATTTAGATCAGAGGAGACCAGCAGGTTGAACCTCTGCTCATCCCTCTGAGATGCTCCTATTTTAAAAACCAAAACCACCTCATAAGTTTCCTATTAGCTCCACTTACCTTTTGCAGCTTTTCTTTGCTCCTTTTCAAACATTTCTAAAACCTGATTTAAAAACGGCTCCTATTTTTTGGATTAAATAGCCCAAAGTTTCACCTTCTTTCTTTTTGAATGCTTTATTTGGTTTATTTGGACAGAATATTGTCTAATTTCTATCAGTTTTATTCACATTTTGCCCATAACTGGTGGTACTTCAGGTCTTTATTGAGCCGACTGGAGCTTTAGACGTGTCCCGTTAACCCGGTCTGTTTTTCAGAGTTGGGGAACACCATCTCCACCCTGTTTGGAGGAGGATCGTCTGAACCTGCCCCCAACGCCACCGAACCCGCTCAGGTTAGTCCACGGTTCGGTTCGATTCACGGTTTTGTGGTCACGGTTTTCGGTTCGGTTCGGTATATGTTGATTGTTAGGAAAATCTATTATGTCTTGTATAGTCAGGTTAAAACTAAAAGAAAAAAGCAGTCTGACATTTGATACATTATTGTGACAGTCTGAGGTTAAAAGTAGGTGAGACTCTGGCATTGCCAGAGAGGAAACAGTGCTAATTCCAACATGTGCTTCCCTCTAAATGCAAAGTGTCCCATACAGCAGACCTAGAAACTGCTACGCTGCTTCTCTTCTTCTTCTTCTTGTTTCCTACTGGTGGTTGGCTTTGGGCGCAGTAGCGCCCCCTTCTGCTCTGGAGTGTAAACGCTTCCCTCTGAGAAAAAGGAGCAGCATGAACCGAACTCAACACACGCAAACCGAACAAAGACGGTTTTCAGAAACCGTTCCATCCCTAATGTCTGCTGTCCCCCTGCAGGAGGAGGAGGAGGTGCC